GGTGTTTCAGCACCAGCTCCCTCGGGCCCGCCCGGCGCTCCGAGTGGCTTCGCTGCGGGGATCAGTCTGGGGAGCGTGGATCTTGCCGAGAAGGAAGAGGCTCCTCCAGTCTGCTTCGTCTTTCCATTCTGCTATGATTGCTGTGTGGATGTGGGTGCTTAGAATTCTACTTGTCTGTACTTCATCAAAATGAAAAACAATTTAAAGTCATCCTCCTGCAATATTCCCACTCAGGGAAGATCGGATTAAGTGAGTGTCACCCGAGCCCCCGTCACAGAGGCAGGGACAGCTGCAGAGACCACGTCAAAAGGCTGACTCAGTTCGCGCACCTCACTGCGAAGCCGAAGCTCAGACTGCCCCAGCATCCCCGGACCTGAAGCTGGGATTTAGGACCTGGGTGCCCTTGAGGGAGGAAGTGAAACCACATCAGGCACCTGGTTGTAGGACCAGGGCCCACTTTGGGGGAAAAGGAAAAAGCTTCTACACCCTTTTAAGGATGTCCCCATAACTGACTGCTCTCCCAGCCGCAGCTCTCAGACCGCCAGAGACACGCTTTCCTGCGTTTCACTGATCTGCTGCCCTCGCATCAGAGGCTGGGAGAGGCAGGTGTGTTTCCTCGGTAACAGGAAGCCACGAGCAGCCACGAGAAAAGGGCTTGGCTTTGACTAAAGTACTTCACTACCAGGTCTCAGGCATCAGGGGCAGGTTGACCCCGTTCCAACCCCGTTTTCCCAGGCACATCCTCCCGGTCCTTTTTTCCCTCTGAGAGTTCTGGGCCCTCTGGCCACTGCCTGCGTCTCCACGCAGCGGCTTCAGTGGCCAGCTCCCTGGGAGAGGGACCAAGGGCCAGTTGCTAAAGGCTTGAAGACCTGAGTGATAGGTGAGAGCTCTTCTGTCCTTCATAACAAGCCCCTTCAGACTATTACTGAGTTCATGCTAATGAGATGACTTTTGGGGGACCCCTAAAAAGCTGCAGGACTGGGGCTGGTCCCCAGAAGAACAACCATGGGATTAGATGGTTAAAACTTTCAGCCCCAACCCCAACCTCCAGGGAGGGAAGAGGGGATGTAGACAGAGCTGTGTCCAATGGTCAAGATCTCATCCATCGTGGCGAAGTCCTGGAGCCTCCAGAACAACCTCCAACCACTGGAGAGCTTCTGGTGGTGAACACAACCCAGAGCTGGGAGGGTGACGCCCAGACACGGTGTGGAAACTCTGGCCCCTCCCCATGCTTTTCCCTGTGTGTCTGGGTTGCAGGCTCCATCCCCAACCCCAGTTGGGGCATGTGCAGGAGGCAACCAATTGATGTGTCTCTCTCAAATCAATGTTTCTCTCTGTGTGTGTCCTTCCTCCCTTCCATGCTCTCTTAAAAAAAAAAAAAAAAAAAAATCAATGGAAAATATAGCCTTGGGTGAGGATTAACAACAACAAAAAAACTACAATGAGATACCACCCCAGGCCTGCTAGAATAGCTATTATCAACAAGACAGGTAATAACAAATGTTAGAGAAGTTATGGTGAACAGAGAACCCTCATTCGGTGCTGTAGGGATGTAGACTGGTACAGCCACTATGGAAAGCAGTCTGTTGGTTCCTCAAAAAATTAAGAACAGAGTTATCTCGAGGTATGCTGCAGCAGCCCCTCTTCCGGTTACCTACATGAAAAACTCAAAGACATGTATTGGCAAAGTTATATGCACCACTATGTTCACTGCAGCATTATTCTCTGTGGCCAAGACATGGAGACAACCAAAGAGCCCTGCGATAGAAGGCTGGGTAAAGAAGGTATGGTCCATGTGCACCTTGGAATGCTACTCAGCCATAAGACAGGAAGAAATAATACCATTTGCAACAACATGGATGGACCTTGAAAATATTATACTTAGTGAAGTAAGTCAGTCAGTAAAAGCTAAGAACTAGATGATTTCACTCTGCCGGGCGATTGGCGGGGCAAATGGGCCCCGGCTTGCACCCGCCTTGGCCTGGCACCACTAAACGTTTTGGGGAAGAAACAGATGGTCACAGCCCGAGAAGGTTGGACTGGAGAGAAACCAGAAGAACGGAAACCAGTGGGGAGGGAGAGAAGCAGAGGGCAGTGAGAATGCCGCCATGGCCTGCAATGCCAAGGGTGACACGTCTGTTAGGTGGTCTGTGGGTTCTCATAGCATTACCTGCCCGTGTGGGAGAACGGTGCTGCTGTGTCCCCATCTCACTTCTTCCTGGCGGAGTGCTCTGGGCCCTGGCCCCGCACAGCATGTCAGACCCCCTAGGCTCCTCCTCTGCTGGAGCCCCTCCTGGGAAATGCTCAGACAGTAAATGTCCACAGAACAAATGAAAGCAGCAATGAGGAAATGAATGAATGAATGAATGAATGAATGAATGAATGAATGAATGAACGAACGAATGAACCATCCACCTCTCCCACCCGCAAGCCCAGGCCCAGGGCTGTGCTTTCCTCCCCAACCCAGCTCCCTCGGGCTCTGAAGACCTTTGCTGCTGTTGGGTGGAATCGGGCATCGCTGGGTGTTTCCAGCAGCTCCAAACAGCCACTCGCGCCCAGAATCCGGACTGCAGCCAGCAGCCCTCGCCTTCACCGAGGGCAGGTGGCCATAGCCTCCTCCATGCCTGGAAGAGAGGACTCAGGCACTCTTTAATTGTACACTTTACTTGCCGAAAGAAGTAAATTGTCCAGCATTGTTTTTCTGTAAGTTAAAGAAGGAAAGTTTGACCTATACTGAAAAACCGGACTGCTTACAGAGGCCCAGTGTCACTTTGTCCCAGCACAGGATCAAGGCGTGTCATGGCTGTGGGCATCCTGCAGGCCCCCGTGGTCTCGCCTGCCAGCTCCACCTCCCTCCTCACAGCTCAGCTGCACCAGGCGGGCCTGCCTCACTGCCCCCACTTAAGTAATAAAGTCTCCTCTGTGGCTGAGGAAGGAGATTCCCTTTTGCCCTTTGGGGGGACACACCCCCATGAGGAATGCAGGGTCTAACCAGCTGTTTGTAACAGTGTTGCATGTGTTTAAGTATGTGCACCGCAGGGGAGAAGGAGAGAGGGAGACCCCAAAATGTGGTAGCCTTCCTTTCACTTCTGTTCTACAAAATGAATAAATGCATACAAAAAAATAAATGTCTGCAACAAATGCACACAACTTGGATAAACTTACAAAGTTATCTAATGAAAGTAGCCTTCCTTCCAATGTCAGCGGCTGGGCTGGAGCTGGGATGTGTGGCAGCAGGTGAAGTGCTGGGCCCTGGACCCAGACAGGGTCCCAAACTCGCACCCGCTTCCGGTCTGTGATCGTCAGCAGACGCCTTCAGTCACTTTTAAGTATTGTGGTCATTCATGTTAGTTCGCAGAGGACTGTACCCAGCAGCCCACACGCTCGACTCAACATACATGTGATAATTAGTTCATGTGTGCATGACCACTCAGGCAGTCAAAGTATGAATGCAGTCGTGTATTTTTAAGCACTGTGCATGTGTGTACATGTCCTCCAAGGCATTCCATTCTAATAGCATTCAGCACCCATTCATACAGAACATGGAAGCACAACCTTAGGGGCTGGCACTGTGTCCCAGCATGCACTTTCTCCCCCCACCAACCCCCCCCCCACCCCCGTACATTCTCCTAGCCCTGGGGCTCCATGGGGTGGCCTTGCTGTAAATTCTAATCTGTGAAGCGTTTCTTAAGGGCTGTCAACTGAACCAGGGTCGCTCGGCCAGCGGGAAGGTCTGCCCGCCTGCTCGGGGCAATGCCCTGTTAAATACACGGGTGGAAGGGTCCACTTGCAGGACTTACGCCCCACAGGTGCCTTCGACAGCTTGCTGTGGGAATGGCCACCTCAAAGGTTCTGCCTCAGCCAGGGAAACTTGGGGTTTTAAGCAGCTGAATTATTCATTGGGCTTTTATCTTCTAGAAGGAGAAAGGTTTTTAAGAGCTGATAAATATGAAACATGATGCTTTCATTCCGGGAAGAATAAGCTCATATAGTCCTACTGCAGTGCGAATGCTTCCAGGATTTGGAGAAAATGTAAAATGCAGCACCAACAAGGCAGAACAGCCACCTGGAACAGCTGCTAACAGTAGTTCTTCTTTTTAGAACAACGGCACCCGCCCCGCCCAGGAGGCTCGGTGGCCCCAGCACTGTTACCAGCACGAGAATCAGGAGAGGTCAACCAACCCACACCTGCCTAATAAGAAAGGTTCACTTGGGACATTTCCCCCTGGGTCCTCCTAAGCAAGCCTTTGCTGAAAAGATTTAAATTCTTTCTCCCACGTCTCTCCATGGAGCTGAGCCGCAGCAGCCCGGCGCCGTGGGCAGAGAGCTCGGAGGAGCAGACCGCAGGTGAGGCTTGCTCACACCTGCTTGTGTAGACGACGCCTTTTGCCGTTTCTGCTCAGATCTTTTTTCTGTCACAGCCACGACAAAACGATGACTCACGCTTACACGCAGCCAGCATGTCATACTGGTTGCTAACGCCTTGGTGACAATGCTGGGCCATTCCTTCAAGAGGAAAGGTTCCTGAGAGCCGTCTGCCGCCAACCTCAGGGACCACAAAGGGCTGCGTCCTCGGCACAAGGCAAAGCTCATTGTGTAGGAAGGCTGCCTGCCCTTGCAAGCTGTTCAGATAAGCAGCTGTTGAAGGGGAAGGGGGGGGCGGGGGGGGGCGGGGAGAAGGGGGAGGGGAGAGCGAGGCTGCTGTTATCAGCTGGGATGGCCAGCTTTTAGCTGTGGCACTGATGTCTTATCTCAAGTATGCTCCCATCTTGCAAATTTAAAAATCTTCCTAAAAGGAGAAAAACAGGAGGTGGTCTCAAGTCCTGCCCTAACTCTGGGCAGCCTCCCCTCCTCCACTTCCCGCTCCCTGGGGGCCTGTAACTCGGCCCAGACAGGAGGACAGAACAGGTGCCTCCAGCTCCATGAGCTGCAGCAATATCTACACCTGCAGGCCATCTCCCCCTCAGGAAGGACCCCCTGCCCTCAATAATGAGAGTAAGTTTGTTTCAGTAAGTTTATTGTAAAAGTCAAAGCTGCAGCAGCATAATCCTTTAGAAAATGAAGCATCGCCCGGATCCCTTTTGAAACAGTAGTGCAGACTGCTAGGTCGGTCAGAGCTCCAGTAGCTGTGCAAGTCCAGGCCGCCTGGCCTCGCCTTTCCCCTGCTTCCTGCCCACGGCGCAGGCTGCTGAGTCACGCCTGCCCGGCCAGTCCAGCCGTCCTTCGTCCTTCCCAGCACCGCGGCCAACGTCAGGCCTTCCGGGGCGAGCACCGGCTCCCCACACTTGTAGAGTCCTGGGCTCTGGGCCAGGCCGCCCCTGCCGCCTCCGGGCCCCCTCCTGGGAAGGAGCCGCGCCTCCTCCTGGCACTCCACGGCCCTGCTTGCCAGTCTCCACGCCGAACTCAGGCGCCCTCCGAGGGCGCCTCCGCAGAGCCAGCCCGGGGCTACGCGCTCGGGGGCGCCTCCACATAGATCAGACCACGGCCCGCCGCCGGCTGTCACTCGGGGAGGGTGATACTGGGCACCCAGTCGTTCACGCTGCGGCTCTCTTCGCAGAACAGGCTGAGCTTTTCCAAGGCGGGGTCCTTCCATGCGTCCTCCTGGGGGTTCTGCGGGGGGAGCGCAGAGGTCAGCCAGGTTGGCCACCGGCGCCACCCGGGCCTGGGGTGGGGGACCGAGGAGCCGGGGGAGTACACTCACCGAAATGAGGATGCAGTGCAGGTCTCCGGGCGCGCCCGCCTCGTCACCGGCACCCACGATGGCCGCCAGCCGCTGCACGTCGCCCACACGCACGATGTCGATGTCGTTCTCGCAGCAAAAGGCCTGGATCAGCGTGAAGTGGATCTGCAGCGCAATGTCGCCCTCGTCCTCCTCGTCGGCGGCCAGCACGCAGAAGGTTACGTTGTCGGGGTCGCTGCGAGGGCAAGGAGGGAGCAGTGCGGTCAGGGCAAAGAGCCCTGGGGTCCCCCGCAGTCCCCCCGCCGCGACCCGTCCCCAGTCCCTCTGCGCGCCGCGTCTGTACTCACACGTTCAGGACCTTGGCGGACTCGTAGACGCCGGCGGTGAGGCAGCCCTGGCGCTGCGCCGACAGCAGCAACTCGTGCAGCGCTTTCCCGGCGCCCTGCATCCTGGAACAAGCCAGTGCGTGAGCGCCGAAACGCGGCCGAGAGCCCCGCCGACGGGCTCCCCAGCCGGCGGGCTCCCCAGCCGGCGGGCTCCCCAGCCGGCGGGCTCCCCAGCCGGCGGGCTCCCCAGCCGGCGGGCTCCCCAGCCGGCGGGCTCCCCAGCCGGCGGGCTCCCCAGCCGGCGGGCTCCCCAGCCAACCGGCTCTCGCCTGGCCAGTGGTCACAGACCTCCCGGCGCTCACAGACATCCGACACCGGCGCCTACCCACCTGGCTGTGCTTTCAGGAACCGTGTCCTGGCCGCGGATTTCTTCCAGAGTCATGGTGCGGGGCGGTGGGCGAGCTGCTAGATATCCACGCGGAGCAGGCGGGGCGCACCGAGCGGAGGGGAGCCGGATCCGTGCAGATCCGCTGGCGCGCGCAAGCGAGTTCGCTGGCCGCTGCTGCGCGCGCTTATAAAGGCCGGGGAGGCGCCGCCAGCTGGCGCGGGGCTGCGAACCCATTGGCCGGCGCCCGCTTTCTGATGCAAATGAGGCGGCGGCCGGCGGCTCGTGCCAGAAGGCCTTGTGGGGAGGGCTGCGGGGGATGACAATGCCTCAAATCTGCCGCTTTTGTCGGGTGTTACTAGGCAGACTGGGAGCCTGCAGATTTCATCTTGCTTTTTTTTAAGTCCTTAAAAGGAAAAGTTATATTTAAAAACCCCTGTTTGCGAATAGGACGCTGCAATTTTTGAAATGCACTTTTGGAGAACCTAAAGGATTTATTTTGCATTTATTTTTGTTGCTGTCTTTCTAGGTTTGTCTTAACTTTTTAATTTGGAGTTTTTGAGGCTGTTACTTTGAAACCGAAACTTAAAATAACCCCCTCCCCCCCGGCACTGGTTTTAAGCTTTCAAAGATCTGGCCACAGCACCCTCCAGCCGACTCGTAAGCGCGGGCGAGGCCTGGGTGGGAGCTGAGTCCCGACCCGACGGCGCTGGCAGGTCCTAGCCCAGCCCCAGCCCTGGCCGTGCTGCGGGACTGGGTCGCGCGAGCAGATTGTGGCCGGCGCACGCGGCTCGTTTGCATTTCTATGGAAGGCGCACAATAAGGAAGGTCTGGCGTGTGGCGGTTTGCAGGAGGGATAATCGAGGCTTTCTCTTCATAGCGACACTGTCCACCTGCCGCCGGCTGGGCTGGGGTGGGGTGGGGTGGGGTGGGGTGGGGTGGGGTGGGGTGGGCAGGGTGGTGTCGGCGAGCTGCCTGGAGCGAGGGGATCTGGGCCCCATGCCGCTCCTGCGTCCTTTGGTGAGCGTCCGCTGCACGCGCCCCTTTGCACCCACGGCTTGTAATTCCACCCCACCCAGTCCTCTCAGGCTTTCGGAGCAGCCGGGCGGGGGTGGGGGTGGGGGGAACATGTGAAAAGAACACCTCGGTGCTGCACCAGGTGCGCTCCCGCTCCCGCTCCGCCCGGACCCCAGTTTCCAGTCCAGAAGCTTGGGAAACGCGTCTTGGAATCCCTTTCCCCTGGCGCCATCTACAGGCCGCCAGAAAGATTCTGACTTCCCCATTTCCATTGGCCTCTGGGGGTTGACCTCCAGCCCTAGGGTCTCCTGGTGGCCCTGACAGGGTCCCCCTGAGCCCCGTCCAAGTTACCCCTTGATGGAAGTCAGAGTAGGGGCTGCAAAACCCACCCGGGGGGGTGGGCACGAATATGGAGGGAGAGCCCATATTTCTTATGCTATTTTGAAATGTTTTATTTACTTAAATATGCATATGTAAAAAGCTTGTTTTCCAGAAATAAATAGAATAATAAAGCTGGAAGAGACCTCGAGGACGTTTAAGAGACATTGCTGTGATGTGACCGCTTGGGACCTACAGCATTACAGGCTGTTGGCGTCTGCTACCTGGAAGCTGCTCGGGGTGCCGCACTGACCCTCCTTCCTAGCTAGCCCAGGCCTTGGCGAGGCAGGACAGTGGGCAGCGGAGGGTTCCTGGAAGCCCGGGCAGGCTCTTCTGCAGGAGAAAGATAAGAAAAGTAACCGTAACCGTAACCGAGAGGGCTGGCCTGGCGCCTCCCGGTGGCTTCCTGGCAGACGAGACCTGCAGATCGGCCAGCGCTGGGATTCCAAGAAGTGGCTGTTTGTTCACCTGGCATTCCTGAAACTCAGTGCGTGTTATCTTCCCGGGGCCAGGCACTCCGCTGCGTTTGTTTGCTGCTGTTTCCTTTCTTTCTTTCTGGGTGGGATATAAAGTGAGGGTTGCTGCGATTGGATAAAGTCTGTTTAAGTGATTGAGACTTAGGCATTGTTCTTTTTAAATGTACTTTTTCCAGGTCCCCAGGAAATGTTGCAAATATGACTTACTTGACATCCTAGCACCCCCCTCCCCATTTATAACCCTAGAAGTCGGCCTGCACTCCAGGCATCAGCCCCTTCTCCCGGAGGAGGCTGCTGGGCAGACCTGAGGAGGGGCCAGGGGCCAGTTCCCTTTGGCACTGAGCCAGCTCTGAGGATGAGAGCTGATTGACAGCTACTGGGCTGCTCTACTTTGCTCACACCTTTAAGGTATTCCGTTGCAGGGAAACCACCTTTCTGATATAGGATATGACTTCACATGGGTTTATTGCGTCAGTCAAATGGCCCCAAAGCCCTCACCTCAGGAAAGAAACATTTTCTCCCGAGGCGAGGCTGGCCCTCCACCAGGAACCCCCAACCCCACCCTGCAGTGTAGACAACACAGAAGCTGTGTCTGGGACAGCACACTTCCCCAGGCCACAGGAGGGGAGGGGGAGTCCCCACCCCAGCGCCCCTGCTCACCTTCAGCCAGCAGACAGCAGGCTGTTGACAAAGGTAGTGACGGGCACTTGCCCTGCTGATGCAGGTACCATTGTCATTAGCCTAGTTACTGCCAGGAAGGGAGCAAAGCGAGCAGCCAGCCTAGGCGTGCCAGGTGGGCAGCTTCCCCAGCAAGCACTTCACACTCCCCAGGGCACTGGCAAGACGATGGACACATGCCTAGAAAGTTGGGGGGACAGAGGGCAGGTGCTTGCTGTCCATCACTGCTGGGGACAGAGGAGGTTGGCCAGAATGGGCGTGGCTACTGCAAGGGCATGAAATCGGGGGCATTCCATCACCTGAACAAATGAATTTGCTCTTGTGCTCTTGCTGCTCTTGGGACTCCTGGGACTTGTGTGATTCAGCTTGTGGGGCTCCCCTGCATTCGCCCAGGTCGCCCACGGCCGTGGGGGCCCCACACAATGGACGAATGGACTGCAGCTGGCCTGATGCTGACCCGGACCCAGCTGCAGCTTGGGAAGGACCCTGGACTCTGAGTGTGCTCCTGGCTTTACTGAAGGGCTGTAATTCCATGGGAATAGAGCTTTCCCCACATCTCATCCTCCTGTGGGGCTCCAGAAATGCTTGTTCCCGCAGTACCCCCAAGAACCCCACTTCCACTCACAGTGTGAAAGACCACCCACGTTTTTCACTGATAACAATGCTGCCAGGGTCCCAGACAGCACTCACCCGTGTCAGCTGCTGGAGCCCCAGACCCAGGGGGCTGTGTTGTTACCCCAGGCTCTCCATGATTGCACCCCTAAACCTTCCCCTGAACCGAAATAATGCAGGTGACGGTGACTTTATTAAATAGCAGGCTCATCCGCCTTACACCTACAGCCCGCCCGAGGCTGCAGGGCACAGGCAGGCTGCTCAGAGCTCCACGCGGCTGCAAGCGGCCCGCCCTTGGACCGGGGGTGTCTTAGGAAAGGTCAGAGTCATCGCAGCCTTTCAAAGCAGGGGACTTGGCAAATGGGATTTGGCCACCATGTGCCTACAGTCACACCCCCCCCCCCCACACACACACACACACACACCAGGTAACCATCAGCTGAAAGGGAGGCACTGGGACCGCAGACTGCACCCTTTCGGGGACCCTGCTGCTTCATTATTGGCATGACCTGCTTGTCCCCTGCAGGCCTTTACATTTGCGATCTTTGAAAAGAAACTGAAGTTGGAAAGCAAAATAAAGGGGCCAGGTGCTTCAAAAATCACTCAAATAGGCCAAGCATTATTTGTGCCCCAGATCTGCAGGACCGGCTCCCTGGCACAGGCTGGGGGCCAGTGTGGCTTGGCCCCTTTCTAAATGGCAAGGGTGTTGCTTTCATTCCACCACCCCCACCCCTCTGCCAGCCCCTACTCAGGCAGCGCAGGCCTCCTTGGGTTTCAAAAAGAGTGTTTTTCCCCCCAAAAAAAACTCATGGATGGGGGGTGGACAGCAGTGACTCAGTGACAATACTACATTAACTCAAAAATAAACCAGCCTTGCTGGTGTGACACAGTGGTTAGAGCATCATATTGAGCGCCGAAAGGTCAAGGGTTCAAGGAGGGCGTGTCCCTGGGTTACAGGTTCACTCCCCACCCCCAGCTGGGGCACTTTGGGGAGGCAACCAGTTGATGTGTCTCTCTCACATTGATATTTTCCTCTCTCTTTCTCTCTCTCTCACACTCCCTCCACTCTCTCTGAAAAGGAATGGAAAAAATATATCCTTGGGTGAGAATTAACAAAAAAGAAAGAAAGAAACCAAATCTTTGTGCAAGATACACACTGAATGCTTAAAACCCAGCAGTGTCACCTCAAATGTGTCCCAGAATCTAACAGGCACAGCGTGGCGCCCCTTCTCCCCACCCCGTCCCCTCTGTGAACTCTGAGGTCTGTCTGCAGATGGGGAGGCTTCAGGTGACAGCTGAGACTGGAAGCAGGAACCTGAGAAGGGAGATCCCCTCCTAGCAGAAGCCGGACATCCGTGGTCAATGCCCACACGGACAGGAGCAATGGCTTAGCATGTGAGAGGGTCACATCTGCTCAGTGAAGTTCCTGAAATGGGGTGGGGGACACGTCATTCAGGCGCTTGGTACTTTCTCTGTCATGAGTAAGAAATGATTGTGACACTTGCCACAGCCATAGGCTGGAAACCCCTGAAAAGCCACAGATATGCTGACCTTCACGAGGTGGCCTGGGCCGGTCTGCTAAGCCTGGTCTCCCCGCATGAAATAAAGATCTCCCTTTGCCCTTCCTGAACCTCATAGGGAGTTCCTGAGGGTCACACCTGGTCACCCCTTGGCCCACATTCGGGTTTTGCTTGGTGGGCAATGCTCTGACACGTCTTACAAGTCCGGGTCTGACTTGCTCACTGGTGTCAGTGGGAGGGGGTGGAGCATACTTCCCGTGTCACCCTAGACATGTCCCTCCTGGCACATGGCGCCCCCACCTGGCTGCTGCAGGCGGTGGAGTTTGGGGTAACTCTCTTTTCTAACAGCACACAGTAAGGGGAGGCACTGGGATCACCTTCTGAAGACATTAACATATGTAACAGAGTAATAGAACTTTCTAACTGAAAGCTCTGCTTTGTGTCCTGAGAGACAATTTAAAGTAAGTTCATACACAGCCAGAAAGGGCGGTGTGATAGC